TCTCTCTCTCTCTCTCTCTCTCTCTCTCTCTCTCTCTCTCTCTCTCTCTCTTTTCATGCTATTTTTGTGCTCTCATCCTTCATGATACACATAAGATTTCATTCAGATTCTTCCAAATGGTATTGCATGGATCCCAAACTTGGTGGAAACAATCATCAATGTGGTAACGAGTGGCGGCCAATCCATCACTGTGGATCAGAAGTTGATAGAAGGGCCAAATCCAAACAACAGGGGAAAGCTGTTTATACCCCTTATCCTTGCCTTTCAGGTCACACATATGCTTACTTACTCTGCTAAAAAGCTTGTTTATAATTCTTAATCTTCATCATTAATACTAATCCATGTCTCTTTTCCTCACCTGAACAGTACCTATTCGTTGTAAAGACCATCCAACGTTCAATCCAAGAGGATGTCAGAAAAGAAAACAAATCTCTTTGGGAGCTTCGTGATATTGGGGGTGGCTGACAGAAAAATCTGATCACTTTCTGGTGTTTCGGTGAATGTTTTCCAGTTTTCTAGAGTTCAGTTCTTTTAATGCTGGCAACTTTCATGGCATTCGGATTCAGAGCAGCTTGCTTTATTATTTTTTAGCATTCTATGATGAATTAGAGATACTCCCTATGTTGATGCTGTTTACTTGGAAACTTTTGTATAAGATCTTTATGAAAATTTTCGTTTTATATGAATTTTCTCTCACAACATCTGTTGAGTAAGGGTCTGGAAAGAATTACAAGTATTTTGCTGAGAATTATTCTCTGTCGTGCAAGAGAAGGGGCTTGGTGTGTGCAGTTGATTATTTAGTGGTGTTTAAGTTCCAATAAATTAGCTTTAGAGATGATGATCAAAATGGTTTTTGATTATTTAAGTCTTATTTTAGCCTCTATTTTTTTTTTAAAGAGGGATCTAAATGATCCTATGGAAGGATCAATTTAGTTCCGATCAATAGATTAAATTGATCTTTTATATTATCAGAGTTTATTGTAGTTTTTTAGAAAAAGTTAGGGGATCAATTAAGGCTTTATTTGGGATGGTTAAATTTTTATACTAAAAAGTTGTTTTACGAAGCAGTAATAAAGCCATCCGTCCTAACAAAAAGGATTTTACTCAATGATATTAGAATCTACAATTATTATTAATTGTAGGGTTGTCAATAAATGGCCAAGTTTGTCAACTCGATTTGGATCCGACTTGAAAAGTACAGATTAAAGTTGATTTGTTTGATAAACGAGTCAGATTCAGGTTCAGAATTCTGACCTATTTATTAATGAGTCGGGTTTAGTTTTACTTGCAAACTCAACTTTAACTTAGAAAAATGATTGATTTAACTTTTTTTGTTTAATCTTTTTATTTGTTGGTATCTTCTTCTTATTATGATCAATTAGCATAAAATCTTGGTTTAATAAGTTATAATTTCTTTTAATCAAATTGAGTAATCGAGTTTGGTTTGGGTCATTCATGTTGCTAGTAGGTTGGGTTTGGGATTATCTTTTTGACACATTTATTAAACATGTTCGGTTTGGATTGATTGGATTATAATCGGGTCATTTTGACACATCTAATCAATTGATCAAATACAACAATCAACCCCATACAAGCAAATTTATGGTGTATGTTAAATGATTAAACTAATGAATGAGTTAATGGACTATGAAGCTCAATAGAAATGATAAACTCAACTTCTCAAGCAAATCAAATTTGTAAAATACTAAGTTGTAGATAATGCAGACAAAATGATATATGACTTTGATCATCTGACCAACATTTTTTCATGTGTAAGCCATCCACCAACTTGCCACTACAAGTTCTAAGGGCAAGAGTAACCATACTTGATTCAATTAAGCACACCTTCTAAGTTCCATTTGGCCTAATCCTTACAAACAAAGCAAAGGACAAAGCTCCCTTGAATTTTGGTGGTCACCTAAAGACAATAGCTAATAATGATATACAATATAATATCTAGATACAAGTTAGAAATAAACACTTACATAACTTACAAATCTTTTTTTATATAGATTATAAGAGAATGACCACGAACCCATTGTCCATAGTCCTTTGAATGAACACTTGATACTCAGTTTGATTTATCGCTAAAAAACCCTTTATAATGATTTTAAATTGAAAGGGGTATTTATAAACATAGTTGCCTATAATTTTTTCTAATGGCTACAAATAAATCCCAAGAAGATTTGTTAACTTAAAAGCCTAAAAATAGTTGACTAGACGATCGTATATACAATTATAGATTGAATGCATAATCTAAATGTTCATCCAACATTAACATCCAAATACTTTGATCTAAATGTTCATCCAAAGCCTAAAAATAGTTTACTAAAATTATCTCAATTTGTTCGCTAACATCCAAATATTTTGATCTAAATGTTCTCATCCATTTCTTTTTATTAAAGAAAATCCACCCTTCTACTACCATAAAATTTCATCCAAAAATATACCAATAAATTTTAAACTTGTCAACATTTTCTCTTCACCTTTCACCAACCTTTAATATTCCAACTCTACTCTAACAACCTTAGAAACCTCTTAAAAATCTTAATATCAGAGAAAAAGAAGGTTTTAAACTCCATAGTATGCATAAAAGAAGAGAAATTTAACAATCAACAGAGGTGCAATCATAACAAGAACCTACCTTTGGAATCTCTCCATGCAATTTCTATCTAGCAATTTTTTTTTTTTTTTTAAATTTGAGGAGAACTTATTCTTCATTAACAAAATATTTTAAATTTAGTTGTAATATTTTCATTTTATTTGCTAATTAAATTTCTTTACTTTGGTAGAAATTTTTGCAAAAAAAATTTAAGATCTTAGCATGCTATGCTACAAACCAAAAAATCTATAACACCTATTGGATGCATTTTTAAGATATAAAACTTGAAGTTAGGGTGTCAAAATGGGTCAACAAGTCTGGTTTAGGTCCAACCTGAATTTACCTTGGTCCAAACGGTTTGATCCTAATCCGACTCGATTTTACAAATGGAATAGGAATTCCAACCCGGACCGACCCGCCGGGTTACTGGGTTGACCCGACATGACCCGCTGACCTGGTTGTGAGAGCACGACTGAGTGAGCATGAGGTACGCGAACCCGACTGTGGGGACAGGGGACCGGGGTGCGGGCCTGTGGGGCTTGGTTGGATGCGAGGCAGGACCTAGAGATAAGATCTAGGGGGTGTGAGAATCGGGATTGCACTTGACACATGAATGCATCAATGAATTGCGGGTAGCTTGAGACTGTGGAGATCGCTGCGGACTACGGGTTTGGCCGATTTTGACGGGAACTGCGAACAATAGCAGGGTTTCCGAGAACTGTGTTAATGCAGCCTGCATGTGGCAGCGAGGCAGGCAGCTAGCAAGGATTCCTTCTCCGTCTTCGACGTGACGCGAGAGTGGCAGGGAGGTTTTCGGGTCAACCTGGGTTGGTTTTGGGTTTCCGGGTCAACTCGTACCCGATCAAAATTTTTGTAAATTGTAATATTCGTTTGAATTATCTGTAAATTGTAATTATTTGTTTAATTTATTTGTTAGTTTAATATTTTGTATAATTTGTATATTGTAATTAGCAAATTGCTTCTAATTCATAAATAAAAAAAAATTTTATGCAAATTTTTGTTTAAATTTTACTGTGTTGATGTTTTTAATTTTTTTTTTTGAAATATTAATGAAAATTACTCGGGTTAGCGGGTCAATCCGGGTTGACCCGAACCCGACTCGGGTTGGGTTCGGGTCTTGAATAGTAACCCGTATCCAAAACCGGGTCGGGTTCGGGTCAACCCGTTTAGCTTAGGGTCATTTCGGGTTAGACACGAACCCGACCCGTGACCCGAAATTGACACCCCTATGTATAGAGATAATTGCCTTCACAGTATCTTAACAGGTAACAATCAGGTCATGAAGAAGGTATTTGCCCGTAGGAAAGAACTCTTGAGCACTTGCCCGAATTAACCAGATAATCTGCCTTGAACTGGACAAGTCTATAAGAACACCTTAGGCAGATCATTCACTACTCCTCGGCTTTCGTGTTCTTTGAAGCTTTTAAGTTTTATTTTTTTGTGACAGAAAAATAGCGAGTATGTTAATGCAGGTTAATCTTTCTAGATACAAGAAAGTAATTGAACATTTCTTATAAGAAAATATCTCTTTGTAAAATGGAATGTAGAGTGAGGGTATTAGAGGAAAACTTCTCATTCATTTTATAATTTTTAATAATATTATTATTTATTACGTCATCCGGTTCGACCCCGGTTAGTTGTCCGGTCTGATTTTCAAAACCTTGCTCCTCGCTACCTCCGATGCCAACTCTCAGCGCAGGACCATCATCCCTCACTTGAGCACAATTATAGGAAGGCTCCCATCCTAGGGGCTATTGCGCATCACTATATTAGACCAAGTTTCTTAGAACATGCCTACCCATTTCACTATGGCGATCTTTGACTTAAGTGAGGCGACAAGACCCAACCTGTCCGACACTACAAACTTCACCCAACTTGATACCAACCCACAACACACAATAGCTTGCCCTCTACACCGCTCAACATTACCATACTCGCCTAAAGTCTTCCATCCCAACTCTCTCACCAATCAGGGGATGACACGTGTGTTTAGTGTGGTGTAATGCTATTTCTTTTTTGTACATTTTTTTTCATATAGCCCCCAAAATTTTAGTAATAAGGGGCAATGAGCACTATTCAACACAAAAATAGTATTAAAATGGGTCTCTTAGATTAGTAGGAAATTTTCTATTTGTCTAAAAACTCTAGTCTTCTACTCTTCTTCTTCTTCCATACTCTTCATTCTTACTCACATACTCCTTTGCTCTCTAAGTTGACCCGCTAGTAAGATCTGATATCCTCCGTGAACAAATTTGAATCCAACAATATCCTTAAATCCTATCTCTAATAAAATTAATCAACAAGACAACTACAAATTTAGTGGTAACTCTCATAAATATGTTATCCCAACAAAAGAATTTTCATGTGAAGATTAAACCAATTAAAGACAACATGCTTGATATATTGAAATTCAAATCCTAACTCTAATACTAAAAATTCATTTTTCAAGAATCCATTCATATTGGATTTGATGAAACAAACGTACCAAAATCAAAAGATGATAAAATAGACAATGATGATATAGTTTGAATGGAAAAGCTAAAGTTAGAAAAGCACATTTCCATCATTCTTTGTCCTTCACAACACATCTACATTCACAAGATCTATTTTACATTGTACTTTTATTTCGTTCTATCTTATTGATGCATTAAGCCTCTTGTAGGGGGCTTAGATGGCTACTATTATAATTATTATTATGTATATTTGAATGTAATTTTAATTTTAAAATAAATATTTATTTTCAAGGCAACAATTTTTATTGTAAAATTACTCATAGCTATTATTTTCAAAATAACTATTTATTTTCAGCCAAACCATAAAATATAAAATTTGAACATGATTGTAATTATAATTTTGATAGAATGAACTTTAAAGTCCTTAGATCTATTTTGAGAAAAATGTAATATAAGTTATTTATATATTGCACAAATATTAGAGTAGGGCTTCTTTTGAGACAATTTTTTTATTGCTTTATGAAACAACTTTCTAACACAAAAAAATCAAATTTTAAAAATTTTTGCACTAAGAAATTGCTTCATAAAATAATAAAATAACCGCCTTAAATGAATCCTAAATCTAAGGGCCATGAAGTCTATCTTGATGTTCTGAATATTTGAACAATTTTTATTTTTCACTTAATATTGTTCTAGTAAAATACCCATTTTCTGCAGTACAATCGAGGCCAAATGAAGTCATAACTATCAATTTTTGGAAAAATTATTCTGCGCGGTCACCTGCCGGCATCCGGAGGCAAATTAGAGCGCGCCGCATCACTTTTTTGCTGTGTACCAAGTGATGTGGCGCGCTCTGATTTGCCTCCAAACTATCCGATGACCACAAAGAATAATTTCTCCAATTCTTTACATGTATAGCAATCACAATATGAAACAGGTGCTATTGCCATAAAAAAAAAAAAAAACAATCATAAAATCTAATTTAGAATAGTCATACACAATTCAGTTCTTTCAAGTTACTCAAGCTGAAACAATGGAAATACATTAATTTCTCCCCCTTATCAACAGTTCAGTTCTTTGCAAGAATGGAAAAGAGGAAAGGATTCATCAGTTAGAAACCATACTCTCTGTTTCCTTCACAAATCCATCGCCTGTCCAATCTTTATCAGACTGCAGGCCCTTCCTAATAGCTTTTCGCTGGCTGATGGCCTCTTGCTGTCTTCTAACCAGTTCAGTGTGGGTGGTGAAATACTGAAGAGAGACCCTGATGCAAGAGAAAAGCCCAGAAACAGTAAGGTTTTTTAACTTAACAGATTCTAAATCATGAAGAATATATTTAAATTGGGATTTTTTTTTTATGAAGACTGTACCCTCTAAATTCCTCTATTGAAGAAAAATTGTGTTTTCTCATGAAGTCCTTCAGCTCATCACAGAGCTTCTTCACGAGGCCGTAGCCATGCATCATCACCCCCGTGCACACCTTAGTTGGTTAGAGACATGAAAGCGGAATGGTTAGAAACACATAAGCAATGAAGGGTATCATTAAAAAAGTTGACAGAGCTGAAAAGTTAAATGGAAGAGTGGGTTTTTAATATTAAGTTATACAACAACACATCAAGGCTTTGTCCCACTATGTGAGGTCGGCTGCATGAATTCTTTTTTGCCATTATGTACAGTTAAAAGTCAAATTCTCATTTAAATCTAATAAAGAAAGATCATTTCTAATATTTTCTAATCAAGTCTTTTTAGGTCAACCTCTACCTTTCTTAACATAAAAATATAATACATTAACTTTCCTGACCAGGTCATTGGAAGGCCTCCGTTTAATGTGACCAAACCATCTAAGGAGACTCTCTCTAATCTTATCTTCCACTGGAGCTACTGCAACCTTTTCACGTATATGCTCATTTCATATTCTATCTCTAAGGGTCAAGCCACTCATCCACCTAAGCATCCTCATCTCTGCAACACTTAACTTAGTATTATGCTTCTCTTTTAATGGCCACCATTCAAGACCATAAAGCATTGTAGGTCTCACCACCATCTTATAGAATTTTCCCTTAAGTTTGAGGGGGACTTTTCTATCACACAATAAGTCCGATGCATTCCTCCACTTCAACCATCCAACTTGAATTCTAATGTAATATTAAGTTATATAGCTAATAAAATTCAAAGTCATCACTGGGTTATTTAGCGGAGCCAACTGGCCATTTGAGACCAATATGCTAATGGCTTGAATATTTTTTCTAACTTTTACCTGTCAGATACATTTAACATGGAGAGAGAGACAGAGTAGAACAGGTAACATTTCTCCTGAGGTCTCAACTCACACATAATTATCAAAGAAATAAGAGGTGAGCTAGCTCCAAGAGCCTTCACCAGAAGGTCTCAAGAGAGCCCTTTACTCTCGATCACCTCACATAATACTTTGGGGAAGCCAAAGCCAATGAACCACAGTATGGGAGTGCCATATTCAAGACGTGCTACTTCCAATCCTTAATTCTATAAAGCAACTGTACTTGATCTCACAAGCCATAATATCCATAAACATAAAGTAAGATTTACAACTATACCTATGATAGTTTGGATCAAATATTCAAGATCTATACAGCGAAAATCATGCAAATATATTCCCATGGAGGCCTACCTGAACTGTATTTGCCCCAATCAGAATAAATTCAGCAGCGTCATTGCCAGTTTCTACTCCTCCAATGCCAGACAGAGAATATTCTTTATCACTAAATTCTGCTTTCATCATTTGTGCGATCTGCATTACTTTTCCAAGTGCAATCGGATGCACAGCTTTGGAGGAATAACCCCCAGGTGTCGAGTACCTGCAAGAAACATATGCTCAGTAAAATGAAGATCTTGTTTTTAGGCCTCGTTTGGTTGCGGCATTTCTTTTGTATAAGTGGAGTTTAAAGAGACGGAGTAAGCAGAGTTTGGGTAAGCGGCATTTTTTTTCTTTTGAGATCGGTGGTATTACGGAGGTATAGGATAAGAGATTATGCAAAAGGCGTGTTAACAAACAACACTGTAACTGTTTTCGCCGATTTAAACCGAAAATGGTGAAATTAAGGAGAACCAAACGAGGCCTTAGTCAACAAAGAAAGCAATCGGGGTTCTCATTGGAAGAAGACACTAACCCCTCAACACTGGGTTCTGGACGTAATGTATTCAGATCAATCCCCATTACGCTCATGATGGTGTTGATAGCTGCAATCCCTTCACAACCTGATTTCAGAGATACCCTTGCTGGCTAGACAACAAAAACAAGTAACTTAAAATACATGTCATAGAGAAAAGGAGAAGAAATAGACATATGATAAGGAAAAGAAAGGAAGTAAGTTTTTAGGCAATCATCTAAAAGAATACTTGAAAACAGAAAGAGTGCGGCACCTTTGTGTCACAAAATTTTCCTCTCTTCAATATGCTTATCTCGTTCTTCTCTCCAAAACTTTTCTTCAGTTTCTCCTCTACTTAAATTAACTATTTTTCTCTTACAAATAATTTCTACAAATCTCTCTTTATTTAAAGCATATAAAAGAGCTGACATAGGCGGATGCATATTCAGTTGCGTAGCTTGTTTTAAAAGCCAATAATCATCCAAGAATGATCCCTTCATCATCTTCACTAAAACATTTCTCCTTATAACTATGCTTCAACAAGTGAGACTACGTAGATATCGTATCCAACTATGCTTCAGCTTAATATCTAACATTTCAAACAAAGGTTACTTTCTAACAGCGTTTCAAAAGACGAAGAGCAGTTTAAACACATCGTTGTGTCAAGGAAGCGGGAAGTTCAATTAGCATAAAGCCATTTCTATGTTTGAGCTTGGTTCAATTTAGTACATTTAGGCTTCGTTTGGGACGGCTTTCTTACTGCTTTGTAAAGCGGCTTTCTAGTACAAAAATTTTAATTTTTATACTAGAAATCCACTTTAAGAAGCAGAAAGAAAGCCATACCAAACGAGGCCTTAAATTCTCAAAACTACCTCCTACTTGTATCATCAGTGTGCAATTATCAGAAGACATTTTAAAAAGGATTTACCTCTTTACGTAGGAAATAGTAAGAGCATGCAACAGCACCAGGGCAAGTGTGGGCTCCAAAAATTAGGCCCCGGCCTCCGCCCGACTGTTGCTTTTTCTTTTTCGGGGGAAGTTTTAATGGATTAAGTTCCGAGGTAAATTTTGGGAAGGCAAATGGGTTTATAGATAAGACACTACCCAGAGATTTCGCCCTCATTTTGCGAGGATTTTATGATATGAGTTCTGGTTTCCTATAGACGCAAGCCCCTATAGTTAATTACCCCTCCCGATCACGAGAGAGAACTTTCGATTAAGGCCAGTCGTCAATCAGATACGTGAAGCGTGTTATCTGACATATAGTAGCAGCATGAGCATTTGGAAATATGGAAAGTTCAAGGTTTGATATTTAAAATTAGAAATTTCACCATCTTGCACTTAAAACGGATGGTGGGGGAATGGATGATTGACACGATCAAGATCCCATGGTTCCGTCATCCCAAGCCATCATGTTCCTTGGTCTACTTAATCAGAGGAAGTAGTCGACCCAACCTGACATAAGGATCCTTGTTGGCAGCCAGGGGTTGCTTCGTCCAAGGAGACCTTGTAGACCTAGGGGGAATGCTTGTCTAAGGGGATACATTTGAATCGACCTTAGCTAACAGAGGGCTTTGTGCCCTATTGATCATATCCTATTGATTTATATCTCACGGATTTGATGCCACTAAGAAACATATTGGCTCTGACCATAACCGGTTTATCGTGGTGCCATTTGGTGGCAAAACTACTCGGTTCAGAGGGCCCCGGGTCATAACTGTTTATCCTGCGGTGTCATTTGCCAGCAAAAACCGCCAGTTAGAGGACGCGTACCACGTCCTTACTAGCATAAGATTGTTTGAGAATGGATCTTAATGATATTTTTGACTAGCATTAGCTCTATAGGAGTGTTTATGAACTCCTCCGGTTGAGATAAACATTCAACACGGCCATCATCGGGGTGTTCGGGTCATTTTCATTTGATAATATTAGCATTTTGTAGATAAACCTTTTCGACTCTATCGAGTTATCGATAGAGGATCGGATTTTATAGGCTTTATGCCTTTATTAGTGAATTCTATTGATTATAGGCTTTGAAGACCCAATATGAATGTACTAAAATAAATATATCAGTCGCCACAATCGCATATTTATTTGATGTTTCGAACCTGTCGACTCCTATTGATCTACATAAAAGGATCGAGTTCGAATTTGAATTCACTTATTGACCCGCGCAGCATCCCTAGACGTCACGTGTATACTAATAACACGCTCGCCGGGTCTCATGCGGGTGTATAATTTTATCGATGAATATTTCTTGTAAAGGGTCTTGAAGGCCTAATATGAATGCATAAAATAAATATTCTAGTCGACATCGTGACCGCATATTTATTTAATGGCTCAAACCGTGTTGAGAAAAATCGTGTTCGAACTTAGATTCATCATTTAACCCGCACAACATCCCTAAACGTCACGCGTATAACAGTATCACGCTCGTCGGGGCCCATGCAAGTGTTTGGGGGCATTTTATGGTTATTTATTGAACTTTGTCGACTCCTATCTACTTGTTTAGGAGAATCGAGTTCAAATTTATTAACCCCCGCAACATCTCTAGACGTCACGTGTGTACCAAAATACACTTGTTGGGGCCCATGGGGGTGTAATAATTGTACTTACCCCTTGTGTACCTATGTGTATACAAATTACAGTGCATGCGTATGGGTATGTTGAGATATTTTAATTGTGCAGGTAATTGTCATTTGAATGCACATAACACTCCATTTGAGAACTTATACACGTCTTCTATCCGCTAATACGAGTGTTGCGAATCCGGTGGTGTGTTGTAGCAGCTTGGGGATTGAGTTGTTTGCTGCTTTGTACAGATAGATTGTCGTGCACTACTTGCATGATTTATGCAGGTAGATTGTAGTACGTTAATGAATCTTCTGCTTTTAGATATAGGTGAATCGTAGCATTGTCACGTGAATTGTTCTGATGCAGACTCCCTTTTCTCATTCATCGAGAGGTCTTTCTGGACTTTGAAATCAATGACCGCTGCTTTGAAAAGAACTTTTAAGATCTTCAATGTAGTAGACTTGTTATTTCTGATTTTTGTGGATGCCAAAATTGTTTTCTTCCTAAGTATAGAACCAAGAAGAAATTTTGGAACATCAAGAAGTTTAATTAAAATTTGTTCAAACATCTCTTCTATTCTGCCAGGAGGTAGCCTTCTCCATACATTGAGTTGTCTTCGTACCAGACATACTCACAAATCTCAATCACTGTTGTTGTAGGTGATATATGTACTTGTGTCCACAAGGGTTCGTTGTACTTACGATATACCCACTATTGTTATCCACAAGTGGTCATATCATTCGTCCTTACTCCCAAGCGAGGGGTTGTATTTGTTATCATCTCCCTTATACACATCGATTGCCACATTTGTTTATGTATCTTTTAGTACTTGTGGCGACCGTCATTTGTATGTACGAGACATCTGATGTCGGTTGTAGGGGAGTTGTTGTAGTCTCCTACATAGGTTTGTAGGACAGGCTGACAGCCACCATATCTGTGGCACATTTGCATTAGCACTTCTTTATACACCAGGAAGAATGATGTGTTTTCTTGAACTTAAGTCTTCATTTGCATGCCACTTATGTTTGAAGAATTTCTGCCACTAGTCCTTTGCTTGCATCAAATATTTGTATTCATTTGAAAACTTTGAATCATAACTTAAGATTTTCCCATTTTAATAGCATTAAGGTCCGATTCCCTGCAGTCTGTATTGAGTTCAAGTATAGTTCGATGTGCAAGTTCAAGTTCCTTGTAGTTGTCCCGAGTTACAATCTCGAGTCATTATTTGTTCGAGTTCAAATCAAAGTCTTATGCAGTATCTCTGCAAGTGTTTTGTTATTTGAATTTAGGCTTGGCTCGTTGCACCTTCGTTTAGGCTTGATTTTTGTGTAGTTCATTAAAGTCCAAGTCTTCTATAGTCTTGTTCAAGTCCTCTGTAAGTGTTCATTCAAGCTTAACTTCTGATGTTTAATTTGAGTGAAAGTTCTTTATATTTGCTCATAATAAAGTTCAAGTCCAGAACTCCCTGCTATTCATTGTCACTTGCTTGGATTCAAATTAATTTAAGATTGAGTTCATTTAAGTCCATTTAGTTCAAGTCCGAGCTCACAAGTACACTGTTCATTTGAGTCCAAATCAGGTCCGAGTGCGATTGTATGTTCACCCGAAATTTTGGCTGCCTACCGGCGTATCCCCTGTTTAGGAAAAAATTCGAAAGACTAACCTTCCCTTGCTACTTGAGCGCTTCAAGTAGGTGTCAAACGACACCGCAACCACAAATTCTTCAATTCCCGCCCGCTGCATGAGCGTTTAAGGGTCTTCGGGCACCTGTTGAAAAGAGCACAAGGATTTCCCCACGTATGGGTACTTAGTCTTGTCCCCCTTACGCTACATAAGCAGTCCGGGGATTACCCACCTCGACGCAAGCGCCGTGCCGGTTTTCCTCCCTACTACGCCATGTGAGCACTTAGGGGGTTTGCCGGCTCGTCACAAGCCACGAGAGAAGGATTTTAGGTTAGAAACTTTATACCTTCGTGTAGGACCGGGGATGGAGGCTTGTGGCTCGAGGTAAGAGGAGCACATTACTTCTCTTTTTTTTATTAATTATAATTAACATTAATTAATTATAATTAATTATAATCATCTCTAATTGATTATACTTATTAATAATTAATTATAATTAATTAAAATAATTAATTATAACAATTTATATTTAATTAAAATAATTAATTACGATTTTTGATTAATCATAACTAATTAATATTAATTATAAATAATTATAAATAAAATTTAAATTTATTATAATTAATTAAATTGATTATAATTAAAAACTAATTATAATTAATTAAAATTAATTTTAATAAAAATAAAATAGATTATTAATCCCTCTGTTCAGCAGATTTGCGGAAATAGGCCGAGGAAGCATGCGAAGGGGAGAGATTACCTTCACAGCGAGCGGCTCCCGTCGGTTTCCAATCAAAATGTGTAACTTCCGTTCCAACAGGAAGGAAAGTCATCAAATGAGCGAAGTCGAACAGGCCAAAGGAGCCGAGGAAGCGTGCGAACGGAAGAAAGTTACCTTCCGAGCAAGCTAGCTTGCGTTGTTGCTTCCGATCAAAAT